GGGTCCAGCGCGTATTCCATTCCAACCCAAGCACGGACGTCCCGCCGAACGAAACCGTTAGGACTCTCGCTCGTTGAGAAGACGAGACGAGGAAGCTACCGGTCGCTGGCCAACTTGAGCCGCGTCAGGACTCTCGCTCGTCGAGTCGTCGAGGAGACAACAACGAGCAACCTACCGGTCGCTGGCCGACGTGCGAAACACTGTGCCTACAGTACCTACAGTAGCTCGGCGGCTGACTACCGCTTCGGTAGCCCGTGCCTGGCTCGGCGCCTGGCGGCACCGCTCCGGTAGCCCGTGCGCAACACGCTCGATGGCTCCGCGCCTGGCGGTACCGCTCCGGTAGCCCATGCGCAACACGCTCGATGGCTCCGCGGCCGGCCGGCTACCGCTTCGGTAGCCCGTGCGCGCGAACACGGTCGATGGCTCCGCCCCTGGCTGACCCGCTTGGGGAGACCGCTGACTTCCGCCCGCGTTACGGTAGGTTTTACCCATGGCATCGGCGGGCTTCTCTCCAGAGTCTCCACCACTCTGCAAATGTGAAATGGGCGAAACGACTTCCGGCGGGTGTTTTGTCCCGCTTTCAACCTGACGATACACGCGCCATTTGAGACCATTTAGTTTGTTTGTTTGTTTTTTTTGTTTTTTTTTTTGTTTTTTTTTTTTTTCATTTGAGACCATTTAGATTTAGTGAGAGAGAGAGAGAGTATAAGGGCATCGCCACACGTTTTCGCGAAATGTGCAAAATGAGAATGACCTTCCCGCTAGAACATGGCCAGATTCACCCGCCACATTTTTGTCTTTTTCATGTTTCGATTGGTGTGGTGGTGTGGCGAGGCCATAATGCGTCACTAGGGCAGAACGGCTGCGTCATCATGGGCCTCGCTGCACTACTCTCGACATGCACAAAAGACGAAAATCATGGCCGTGTATCTTTCCATATTCTCGAGGAAGATTCACCCTCGTTTTGCACATTTCGAGAGTAGTGCAGCGAGGCCCCATCTCTCCCTGGGGACGGAACAACAGGGAGGAGGAACCTGGACTGGACAAAACAGGACATGAAAAGTTGGCAGAGTCTCTCTCTCGGGACGGGATTGATCGAGCAGATAAAATGCAGAGCCGGGGTTGGCCCAATCAGATGCTCTTCAATACTGAGTGGCATTTCAAGGCGGGCGAAGGATAGCGACCGAGGCTCATGGAGGCTCATGGAGGCTGATGGAGGCGTAAATAAATAAAAAGCAGAGCACGAAAGCCATCCCGAATCTAGCCCCCCACAAACATGAAGCTGTACCGGGTCTGTCGACCCCTCCGACTCCCCAGGGCTCCGCGGGAGGTCTCGACGGCGGCCGATATGGAAATGAAGCTCGCATGTGCTGGACATCTATCGTATGAAATGATGGAAATTATACACAAGCACAAGTTCTTGGAATGTGGACCAAAATGTCACGCTTTCTGGAGCCCCATTCTTAGAAAAACACAAGTTCTTGGAATGTGGACCAAAATGTCANGCTTTCTGGAGCCCCATTCTTAGAAAAACACAAGTTCTTGGAATGTGGACCAAAATGTCACCCTTTCTAGAGCCCCGTTCGTAGAGACGTGTGAACGGGCAAAGGGCCTCCTTCCACTGCCCTCCCCTAACTGCATCAACAGGGAGGCGGCGGTTGTGTTGAACAGGACGAAAGCCTACCCCTCCATACCCAGCAGAGTGAGGGTAGGCCACTGCAGTGGAACATGGCCCCTATTCTGTCACTTGGTAGGATTTTCTAGACCGAGTGTGGCCCTGATGAGAGACCCCATACGTCCACAGCAATCAGATATAAGGCAGAAACATCCTTGCGTGAAACTCCCAACGTGGGTATGCCCTTGGTGTGAGTGCGCCCTAAGGCTTTCACGTGCCATTACGAATGAAGCTTGGCAGTATTTTTTATTTTTTACTTTTTTGTTGGGTAATTTGCGAAGTACCCCTATAAGTTGAGATAATGGAAGTACCTTGAGTGGTCAACTTGTGGGACATGGATTGACGATGCGGTCATTGGCTGCATTTCCCGTAGGACGTAACATGGTATGGAGTGCACTTGTGGTGTACTGAGGCTATTTCAAAGTGTGTTTACACACAGCATCACACACACCCGGAGGGAGTTGTTTAACCCCTCAAACGGACTTCCTTTCAGGGCTGGTACCCCTGGCCATACTGTATGTTGCATCCACTGTGGATTTTAGTGCGTCCGAATAATGACTACGGGTGTCTATATTTGTGTCTTGGATTTTTGACGACTTTGGTTATTTTCGGGGGACACTCACCCTGTGTTGCTCTGCTTTGTTTCAGGACTTTGTCTCTCCGCAGATACTGTGGATTCCGAATTTGGTAAAGGATGACAAGGCCTGGCTCGCACGATTTCGTCCACCACCACACCCCACACAAGCTCTGATTGTGTTCACACAGAAGCAAGTTGTAGCTGCTGTTAGGGAGAGGTCGGAAACACCTGAGACTGATTGCGACCCGTTGATTGATTACCTGTCTTTTAATGATTGGGCTGAGCTGATCTTTGTTTATTGATCGAAGAGGGCAGAATTCGCGGAAACGATTTCGAGATTAGCCAGGGGAACGAGCGAGGTAAGGGAGACCTCTATGAAGGAGGATAGGGAGATCTCGAATGCTACGATCAATGTCGAAGCAGTCTTTGTCAGACTATGGGGAGTGGATTCCCGCTTCCACAAATCCCTAGGGAGTTTCCTGGATACTGGCAGGAGGGAGGCGTTAGAGGAGGATGAGGAAGATGAGTTGACTGAGGAGGAGAGATTGTACGTTGAAAAGAAATTGGCGGAGGCGGCAAAAGTAAAGGAGAAGTTGAAGGCAACAAAAAAGAAGAAGGTGGCAGGAGATAGAAGGAATGCTTTCCTTCCGTTCGCATCATCCAGGTGGGTTGAGGGGATGTCAACGGCCGTTGCTGGAAAGATTTGGTCTTTAGAAACATACAACCACTTAGCCCCTCTGGACAACAGAGCATTTAGGTTTTTGGGATCGTTATCGCAGGAGGAGATGAAGGAGTGTGTTGAGAGGGCGATGGAAATGGATGTCACCCCCCTGGGAGTGACCTTCCCCTTTAGTGGAGATGGGGTCTACATCCCACCGATGGATGTCATGGACTCTTCGAAGTGTTCATCTCGCAACCCCCAGGTCTTGATCAGGTCCTCCAAGCCTCCACAGATACCCAATGCATTGTCTGAGTTGAAATGAATCTGGAACCACGGTAGGCCGTACATTAAATGTAGATGCATGTCGGATGGTAGGGATGATTGTGGGAATGGCCCAGCCTGGTTTGACCATTTGTTGTGGTTTCTGTTGTACAACCCGGATATCATGTATCCAGACGTGCCCACCCCGAAGGCCAAAGTTTCTTCTTTAATGAAGTGTCTCGCTGGCTCATGGAAGCCACTAATCCTTGCATCGGTGTCCTTTTCCTGCATCAGGGAGGTCATGATGCTTCTCGCAAGGAGAATCATCAGCAATCCATCATTGACGGTAGACTCCGTTCTGACTGGGGTCAATCGATCAGAGAGGAAAGTCTTCAAGGAATGTGCGAAGGCCCTTCTTTCGTCGAGGTACGTTAAGAAGAGGACCGCAACTTCTACTTCTAACGATCCCTCGTCATCGGCCAAAAGGCAGAGGAGAGAAGGGCAGAGGACAATGCTTGCCTTTGTCTACCCTACAGAGTCCACCTGTCCCCAACAACCACGAGCTCAGGCTACTGGCTCTCCCCCGATTTCCACTATCACCCATATTGGCGGACAACGCGTGACATTGCCGCAGGCTGCGAACAATAGTGCCAAAAGAAGTTTGCAGCTTCCTTCCATCGGAGATCGCTAAGCTCAACGTCGGATCGTGTTGTGCGTGCAGGTATGCCTTGGATCTATTGAAGAAGGACCCTCTGGGAGGATGAGGTGGAAGAAGAGGAGTGATGACCGAAAACGAGAGTTTGTCCATATCCAATATACCGGAAAGATGATGGATAAAGTCAATCTGAAAGGGATAATTGAGTCTGTGCTTCTTACCCTGGGAATGTCTGCGATAATTGTGTTTTTTTCATTTATTACGTATGGTTGGACGTACGATGAGAGCATTGGGGATTCGGTTTATAAACCGGGCAACGTGTTCAAGTGGTTCGAAGTGACCGACTGGTATGATGCGTTGACTAGAAGTGGTAAGTGCCCCTGTGATGTGGAAAAATTTCGCCCTTTTCATTTGATGGAAACGTTCTATATGACCCAACCAACGAACGTACCGACAACCCATGTCCTCACTTTGGACCCTCGAATTGCGGATAATTATGAATTACAGGAGTGCCTCAGTCTGGGGCTTAACCACATACCCCCTAAACCACACACAACGAGTCAGGTGATTGAAGCCTTGATGAGAGGATGGTCATGGTTGATACTGTCGGAATGCTTCTGAGACATGTGTTTATCCCAAAGGGATTGATTGACTGCATGGGTAGGGAGGTAGAGGTGAGAGTGAATGCGCAGCTGGATAACGACATGATCAGATGTAGTACGCACATGTCAGACTTTCAGTTCAAATCAGATGTGAAGTTTCTTACAAACACGATCTTCATCGCAGGTATTGACAAAGCAGCGAATACTTCATTTTTTGTCTGCAAACACCTCATTCGTGCACTGGCTTTAGAAAGACTCTCTGGTCCTGATTTTGAGATCCCCGGCATGACGATTGAGGAAGTAGTCAATAATACATCTTGTTCGTTAAATAATTGTTTCCCTTGGATAAA